TTTTTTTTTTTTTTTAAGTCTCAGTTTCCACACCTTTACATTGGGGGCAAGGATCTTCTCCACAGGTTCGCTGTGAGGATTAAAGTGAGGAATGATGGGATGTTACGCACGTGCTCCTGGTTGCCAGAAGCAGTATCCACTAGCTGAGAAGGATTCAGCCAACTCTCCCCAACAACTCCCTCTCTTCCCCGGTTGGGTGGACAGTTCCACTTGCCAGGTTGGCCAGTTTCCCGTGGGGACGCCTTGGCCAGGCCAAAAGACAGCGCCCAGGTAGGGTGTTCCAGGTAGGGGAGAGGCCGCAGGCGGGTGAACAAGCAGCGTGTTTCTTTCCAGGCGCCTCCCCTCTACCCGTCGACCATGCGGGAGCGTTCGCGAGCCGCGGCAACCTGGCCCTGGCGTCTGTGCCGCGGCCGGGCAGAGGACGCACAAATTGTATTTCAGCGCCAGGTCCTTCCGGGTTAATGAGCTGACACCATGATTAAAGCTGACCATTTGTAATGTGTCTCGACCCCGCCGCCGAGTCCTGAAGAGGTTAATGCGGTGACGGAGGCCGGCACCTGCCCCTCGCCGGCCTCCCGGGCCTTGGCGCACAGCCCCTGGTCCCCGCCCCCTCGCCTGCCCCTGCCCCGGCTGCGCCGCGGACTCCTAATCAATTAGCCCATTAACGAGCCCTTCGAGAAGTTAAGTAGGGAGAGGTTCTGCCACGGGCAGGGCTGCAGTCGCTAACTCACCGCGGCTAATAATATTACAAGCGCTCTACTCAATAACCTGGGCATGGCGCGGGCAAGGAGGGAACTGCACCGTCATGGTGCAGCCTGTGGACATTGGTGGGGACTGGCTCCAGGGTCTCCTCTCACCCTCGGCTGCATTTGGGGGATACTCTTGGGGCAGGGCTTCGCGGATCGGTTCTTTGCTGGATAGGTGTGAGGGCGCAGACCCAGGAGGTAGAGTTGCCTGAGTGCCTGGGGGCCTCGCCTCACCTTCCTTCCCTCGAAGCTTGAGTGTAGACAACTGTGCGCCCTAACGCTTTTCTGCTGCAGAGCTGGTTCTAGATTTGGCACCAGCTGACCTGGGAATTGAAGAGGTGAGAACCAGGGCTCAGAGGGGACTGTGGGGAGTTGGGCATGTTGACCTCACCCAGCTTCTGTGAGGTAGGTGTTGCTTCCCCAGATTTTAGGAATGAGGAGACTGAGGCGCAGAAAGTTTGTGTCCTGTCCAAAGTAACTCATTCGGGAGGTGAAGGGACTTTGCCCAATTCTAAAACCATGCTTGTGCCCTCACCTCCTTCCTCTCTCCTTCCCAGAGCAAAGGGTCTCTGTTTCTGCAACAATTCTGTGTTCTCCAATATTTGCCAAAGCCACTTGTAGGACAGGCGGGCAGCCCGTGACCTTTCCAGCGAAGGTCTGCAGAGTACCTACTATGAGCTCCTAGTGCTTCCAGGTTTTTGGGGACTATCCCATCCTACTTAAGGCAATCCTTAAACAGGAGGGCGGATGCTAAAGAGACGTTCACTTCACGTATTATGAAGGTGATAAAGCGCTGATTGGGACTGGAATTGTCCAAATTCATGTAGCGTGTAAATGGTGGTGCTGGGACTCGAACCAGGCTCTTTTGAAACAAGATCTAGGGCTTTCTCCTCACTCCCCACCCCTGGCCTCAGGATAATGCTGCCCCGTTGGGCCTAGTACAGGGGCAGGGGTCTGCAGGTGCGCAGAAGTTGTCTACCCCGGGCCTCACAGCCAGGCTCTGGGAATAGCATCAGTTCCAAGGTGCATGCTCTTTCTTTTCCCAATTCTCCCCCGCGGGCGCTTTGGTCTGGGGGCTCCCAGCACTGTCTGCTCACCGGGACCAGGAAAAGGGAGGCTGGGGGAAGGTCGTGGAGCAGCTGGTGGGTAGCTCTTCCGAGGGTGTGAGGACCCATCGCCTGAGTGGGGAGTCGGGTCCTTCTAGCTCGGAGCCCCGCGCAGTCTCTGCCCCTGGAGAGTGCCGGGGTCCCAGCGGTCAGAGCCACAACAGACACCAGGAACCTGGGTTGGAATCTACGCCGTTCCCGGCTCCGGCTATCGCTGGCTGGACGCAGCAGATGCCCATCCTGCTCTCCGCGTGCTTCGGGTGCACGGGCGCTGCTTTCCCGGTCTTGGCTTTTTGAAAATTTCCGGGCCGCTCAGCGGCGCTGCGATTGGCCACGTCCCAGTAACCTCTATGCAAATGAGGCCGCGCCACCTCCGCGCAGCCGGAGACCCCGAGAGCTGGCGGGCGAAGAAGGGGCATTCGCGCTGGGGCCTGGCGGGCGCGCCCAGAGCCCGGCGGGCAAGGACCCCCGCGCAGCCATCCCGGGCCCGTGTTCCCCGCACGGAGCGGCTGCCTCGCCTGCTTCGCCGCCCCCTCCCCCTAACTCTCCTCCCCGCCCCTCCCCCCTGCCTGCCTGCCAGCACCACCTTCCACTCAGATCGTCTCTAAAGGGAGTTCTTGGTTTCCTCCGATTTCTTATGAACCCAGGATGGGCAGCAAGGAAGATGCGGGCAAGAGGTGTCCGGCGGCCGGCGGCGTCTCCAGCTTCACCATTCAGTCCATCCTGGGCGGGGGCCCCTCGGAAGCACCACGGGAGCCCGCTGGCTGGCCGGCCAGGAAGCGCAGCCTGTCGGTGTCCTCGGAGGAGGAGGAGCCGGACGACGGCTGGAAGGCACCCGCCTGCTTCTGCCCAGACCCGCACGGCCCCAAGGAGCCCGGCCCCAAGCACCACCCCCCCATCCCCTTTCCTTGCCTGGGTAAGGATCGCACGCCGCCCGGTGGACCGCAAGCGAGCTCTAGGGGAGGGAAGCTGTGCCGGGGCTCTTGCATCGGACCCCTGCTGGCCAGAGCCTCGGCTGCCAGGGTCCCGGGTCCGAGGGGAGGAAGCGCGCGCGGTGCTGCCGCCTCGGCCCCCGCAGGCGCTCGGGAGGATACTGGGCGCGCAGCCCTGGTGCGGCGCGGTCTTGGGGAAGGTGGAGGTGGAGGGAGAGTGTACTATAGCGGGCAGGGCACAGAGCGCACACACGGCTCTGACCTCCAAATCCTCTAAGCACATCTGATACTTCCCGAACGAACGGGAGGTCTGAAAGTCTGGTCTGAGCGGTCTCTACTGCAATTTCTCTCCGCGGTCTCTTGCTCTCTCGTCGTCTCTGTCTCTCTGTCTCTCCCTCTCTCCTCCTCCTCCTCCTCCTTCTCGGAGTGATTAGCCCTCCAAGATGATTGACAATGGTGCCTTTCAGAGATGGTTCCTTTTTACAATGTCGTCGGACGAAGGGGAGTCCCGCATTAGTCCTTAGCGTGATTTCTGAACAAACGGCCTGTGAAATGGTGCCGCCCTATAAAGCTCAGGGAACTCTTCCAGCTCAGTTATTACAAGGCAAAAATCACCTTTAAAAGGGATGTTAATGCTCCCCCTCCAGGCCTCCTCCCCGTGTCGCCACTCGTCCTTTCATGAAACTGGGAGCACAGAGACCCCAGACTCTAAGTAGCTGGGTCTCTCTCCTGTTGCTTTTTAAAAACCGGGGCTGCTGGGCGTAGGGTTCCAGCGAGAGGGAAGGAGTTGGGACCAAAAAAGACAGGATCAGGGTTGCGGCCGCTTGCCCGTCTCTTGGTCCGGGGCACAGCTGGCGGGGGGTGGTCTTTGAGGCTCCCCACCTCCATGGCCTCCTTTTCTGTTCTCACTCCCCAGGTACCCCCAAGGGCAGCGGAGGCGCAGGGCCGGCGAACTCGCAACACACGCCTTTCCTTTCTCCTTCGCACCCGGACTTTAAGGAAGAGAAAGAGAGGCTCCTGTCCGCGGGCTCCCCGTCGCCAGGGTCCGAGCGGCCGCGGGACAACGGAGCCGAGCGGCAGGCAGGCGCCGCCAAGAAGAAGACACGCACTGTCTTCTCGCGCAGCCAGGTGTACCAGCTCGAGTCCACCTTCGACATGAAGCGCTACCTAAGCAGCTCGGAGCGCGCTTGCCTCGCCTCCAGCCTGCAGCTCACCGAGACCCAGGTCAAGACTTGGTTCCAGAACCGCCGCAACAAGTGGAAGCGGCAGCTCTCAGCCGAGCTGGAGGCGGCCAACATGGCGCACGCGTCGGCGCAGACTCTGGTGGGAATGCCGCTAGTGTTCCGGGACAGCTCGCTGCTGCGCGTGCCGGTGCCGCGCTCCCTCGCCTTCCCGGCGCCGCTCTACTACCCGGGCAGCAACCTCTCGGCCTTACCTCTCTACAACCTCTACAACAAACTCGACTACTGACCGAGGCGCAGGCCCAGCGCCTCTCCCGCTGCCCGCAAGCCTGGCGCAAGCTGCCCGGTCCCAGGGCTGCGAAGCACGGCGGCGTGTTGCCAGAAATATTAAGAAATACACCATGTGTATTCATTATCTCTTATTTATGGCCTCTGCCCTACTTTTTGTTTTGATTGTTTCGGGCACTTATCAGCATTCCTCAAAGCCAGATCTCCTGCTTTCTACCCAAAACAAACCAGTATGCTTTGAAAACTCTTTTGGAAGGGTTGTTCTCGGGTGGTGGGAAAGGGAGTTTCGGCCAGATCGACGTTGATTGGTAGGAAAAAAATTTGAAAACACAACCAACAAAGCCAGTTCCACGACTCTCCCCTTCTATACATCTGTATATATGTACATGCACACATGGCCTGCCAAGCCAGCCCTCGGGGACTTTGGACAATTATCTCAACGCCTCCTTTCGTTTCCCTCGTCCTGAGAACGGGCAGGGACCAAAGGGGAGGTTTCAGATCTGTAAATATTTTTAAAGAAAATAAAACATTTTAAGCGTCGTCGCTAACTTCGGCGGCACTGATTGCTTGGAGTGCTAACACGTGTAATGTTTTCTCGCTCTCGGGTGCAGGGGTTTGTGGGTTTGTGGGTGTGTGTTCGGAGAGGGCTTGCTCACCCCACGTGGAGGGTGGGGCGGGGTCAGGGGTTAGAGTTTGGAAGGCTGATTCTGGCAGCCTCTGGGCTGGCACGCACCACCTTCCACTTCCTCACGCTTAAGACCAGAGCGGGCTGATGCTCTCCCGGACCGAATGCAGTTCCGGAACCCGCGCCAAGGGGGACCAAGGCAGGGAGGCAGGGCTCGCCGCGGAAGCGGATGCCTGCCCAGAGCGAGCATCTCCCCAGCACCTGGAACGCCTGGGGCTTGGCGGCAGCAGGGTGTCCTGTGAAAGGCTCAACCAGTGACAGGAGCCTTCTCTCCAGGGGCGCAGGGAAGGTGGGGCAGCGCTTCCTGGCCCAGGTAAAGAGCCCGCTTTGGTAGTTGCCCAGCCTGGCGCCACAGGCTTGCGACCGGCGCACAGTTCCACTGCCGGTGGTACAGTTGTGCGTTCTGCTCGGCTCGGGAACTGGACGTGGAAACGTGGGCCTTCGGCGCAGGAGGGTTCTGAGGCAAACAAAGTGCGGGCGGCAAAGGCGCCTCTCCCACACAGCTTTGTTTTGGGTGGTGGTTATAGTTTGCGTTTACGTGACAAAACGGCCTGATCATGCGCAAGTACGTGGCCGCTCCCATTGAATGAAAGCTTGCTGCGTGGCCTGGGCGCCGACGGACTTCTGCGCCCCAACACCTGCGGTTCGCACCCCGGCTACGAGGGTGCGGCTCCGAGGAAAGAGCTGCGCGAGCGTTATGCAAATCCCAGAGCCTCTCCAGGTTAAGCCAGGTTAAATCGCAGCCATCAGTTCCTTGTAAAACGTCCGAAAAGGAAGCCTTGAGTTTAGAAGAGGCAGGTGTTTTGTTTCACTGGGAGGAGCACCGGGGACCTCTAGCCTCTGACCCCCTTACCTGGTGCAAAGGTACCAGGAGCCAGCGCCGAGGCCCGATCTTATCTCTTTGGAGGTGAACATTCACGTGATAGACTTGTCTCTCTGAGGCTAGGAAATGCTCTGCATTTTGTGACAGCGTATAGGATACCTGTAAACCATCTGTGACCCACAGTATTCTGTCTAAAATGTCTGATCTCTTGTCCATTTTGAGGTCATATTTTTTCTTCTCACATTAGATTTCATAAAAATCACAATTTATTTCGAGTTGACATCTGAAGGATGTTCCCCAGTAACACATCTGCCAATGCTAAGTTAGCTCAGTTGTATTTATTTCATTTCAATAGAGTTCAGTGCAATAAATATTTGCTGGGTCCTACTACTTGATTAGAACTATTCTAACTACTGGATATTCAGAGAGAGAAAAAGGTGGCACTGGATCCATTTTCTTCTGACTTACTTGGTACACATATTTTTATCTCAAGTGCCTTCTCTCTTTCCAGATGACCCACTTTAAATTCTTTTATTCTAGTGTTGCTATTTGTATTTGAATACTCCATGCAGAAATAACAAAATTGTTCTCAAGGAACTACTTGTATAGGAATATTCAATCCATATGATTTTTGTCTGCATTTCAACAGATTTTGTCCCCCCCTCCCACCGCTCCAGCCCCCGAGATAATGATGATTTTAAAAGTATTGGGTCACTATATCCTCTTTAGGCTTTTCTTAGAGAAGATGGTTTTCTGTAGCCATTGCAGCCACTTAATGGCAAAATCTTAACCTTTACGATTTTAGGGATGACCCTTTTTTAGTTTGTCATATAGTGGGTATTTCACTCTTTTTTCTATTCTAGAAATTAGCAAAGTGATCCAACAGTGTAATTAGTTCTAGAGATTCCTCTCTTTTATAGTAACTAAGCATTAAAATGCACACACATACATATACACGCCTTTGCATTTGGATTGAAAATGTTGTTCAAGACTCCACTGTGGCCAGATTTCCTATCTCAAGACTATCAATTCATTTGAATAATCAGCAAAATCATCAGCCTCCTTTCAGGTTCTAAACTGGATTTAAAAGATTGACGTTTCTTAAAACTCAAATTGAGTCTGGTTGCAACTGCATGCCCAGAGGGACCTGAATCATACACACACTGGATAATGAAATACACTTAGATTTTATTAGTGGATAATTCATGCTCAGAATCTCGAAACACTAATAGAATTAAATATGCAATGGGGAGAAGGAACCAAATAGAATTATTTGGAGTTAAAATTGTTTAGCCAAAGTTAGAATGGAGCAAGGCACTGCATTTTAAATTCTTAACCTAGACATTAACTTGTTGAAAGAGAAGAGACAGAGAACCCAGTATGAGGACTGGGGCGGAGAAAGGGCAAAAATCTGACCTTTCAGCAGTGATATCATCAATACAGTGGGGAGAGGAGTGGTTGCATGTGCATTTATTGTGTGACGAATCAGGAAAAAATGTGCACCTGAGTCAACATATGTGAATACGTAAAGACCAAACTTTTTTCTCTATTAATGTACCTTAAGAGTAAAGCACTTTAACCTCAACAATTTCCTTCCACTTCATACAAAGTTACATAATAAAATAAGATTTTTTTTCCACAAAAGGCAGTGAAAAAGAGGTTATAGTATGGGTTACATTGACAATTTTCAGTGAGTTTTTGATATTTAAGAGTCACTGAGTCACAGCATTCTAGTTACAAATTAAATATTGATTATCTTTCATGGAGATCAAATCATTTTCTTACTACAGAAGCAACCTTCTTGATTCTCCTATCTGTGGAGGATTCTAGAAGCATAAAATGGAGCAAACTGAGCTCCAAACTCGAGGGAGTTGTTCAGGTGGGCTGGAATGGACAGGGAGAAGCTTGTAGCTGTCATTTTAAGACCCCATTTAAAAATAAGTCTAAAAGAAGCATTTAAGCTTTAACACATTGCCAATTATTTGTTTCCCAGTCTATTCACCCATCTGGACAGGGAGTTCCTCCAGAGCAAAGACTGGTCTCTTAATGCATCATCCCAGCGTCTCACCAGGCCTGGCACGCAGTAGGCATGTCAATGTTTGTGAAAAGATGCAATGGATTGATAAAGCATAGGATAAATAAGAATGAGTTCCAATAGGTCTAAGACAATAGGAACTGTGAGACCCTGGTTCATAAGTGGAAACCTAGGAAAAGGAGAAAACATCAGGGCAAAATAATGCAATTCATTAGAGTAAATGTTTTCTTCTCCACTCCAATTTTTGGTTAACTTCACGGGCGTTCTGGGAAAGGGAGAATAATTTAGCACTATAGAAGTCTTGATCAAAATGGGGCTCTCGTGTCTGCGAGATTAGCTCAGAGCACCACATGTCGAACTCCAAAAAGCATCTTTCTTGACCTCAGTAGAGGACTGGCAGGGCATCGGCTTCAGGGAGACTACATCTCCCAGCGTGCTGCACACGTGCCCGAGAGGGCGTGAACGCAGTCTTGGCGCGATGCTTCTTGGGAGTTGTAGTTTTCACTCGTTTAGCGCGAAAGCGGAGGAGGTGCCTCAGCCTTGTGGTAAAGCGAGTCCACGTGATCGGAAAAGTCACGGTTTGCCTTTGAGCCGGAAGAGGATAACAGGGTTGACCGACTCCCGGCCTCAGCGCGGACCAATCGGCTGCCTAGAATGAGACGTTGGCATTTGAATTCAGCCAATGGCAGGCATATGCTGGAGCTTCCTCTCCGCCTACTTTGTTCAGCCCCCGAGTGCTCTGAGTGAAGCGAGGCGGCGGCTAGCGGCGGTCAAGTTGATTCTTAAGCGAACTCAAGGTAGCGGGAAGAGCCGACGGGGCGGAAAAGCCGGCTATTCGGGGACTCCCCGGGCCCTGAGCTGGCGGAGCCGTCCGCAGGGAACACGTTTCGCTTCCACCACTTTTATTTTAGGAGCATCCGGGACGGCAGTCCCCTGCGGGGAGGGGCCGAGGTCCCGGAGCCCGCGGCGGGGGAGGGATGCGGCGGACCCGGCTCGGGGCTGGAGTTACGGGTGTGGAGGCGCGGGCCGGGCGGATTGGGGCGCTTCGGGGGCGGTGGGCAGTGGAGGGAGCAGTCTCGGCTCTGGTGGGCACGCAGGCTTTGCGCAGGCGCAGAGGCCCCGTCACTGTCGTTTTCTAGGTTTTCCCTTGTGAGGTCCCCAACAGCCCAGCCCCCAGCCCCCGTACCCTCGCGGGCGCCGGTGGCGGTGTGGAGCGGGGTCGGGGCGGGGGGCGTCTCTGACTGGGCGCTTGTTCCGTAGATGACAGGCTCTAACGAGTTCAAGCTGAACCAGCCACCCGAGGACGGCATCTCCTCGGTGAAGTTCAGCCCCAACACCTCCCAGTTCCTGCTGGTCTCGTCCTGGGATACGTCGGTGCGCCTCTACGATGTGCCGGCTAACTCCATGCGGCTCAAGTACCAGCACACCGGCGCCGTCCTGGACTGCGCCTTCTACGTAGGTGCCCGCGCTGCTGTCTTTGTGTCGCGGTGTCCCGTGTGAATAACGGCAGCGCTCCTGCCGTGCCGGGCTGGGGGCTTATGTCAGGGGAGGCGTTTGGACAGGTCTCCACGTACCCGTAGCACCTGCCTCGGGCCGGGGACCGGGGTTTGGCCTTGGGGACATGCCGACGTCGGAAACTGGTCTCCCCGTGAAAGTGGAGTTGAAGGACCCAGCCCGCGGTGTAGACGTGGGGCAGTTGCGTTTGAAATTTGCAACCGGGAGGTGAAACTTGCTGCCTTGTCTAAAGATGGGCGCAGTTACTAGTAAATAGCAATGCCTGTCCTGCCGTTTTTCCTTCACTTCCTGGCGGTAGTTTGCTTTATTTTGGTGCTGCTTTTTTGTTTAGAGGGAATAGTGACGTCATCTGGAGCGTACTTGACCCGTTGGCTGGAATTTTGAACCGCTTTCTGAAACTCTTAACACTTTTAAATGACTTGAAACTTTATTTTGTAGGACCCAACACATGCCTGGAGCGGGGGATTAGATCATCAATTGAAAATGCATGATTTGAACACTGATCAAGGTAATACGGCCTTTTACCAGTTTGTTGTTTCTCGGCTGGTGCACTGGAGTGTAAGTATTTATTCAGGAAGAGGCGTTCTTGAATTGCTTCATTCCCCACTTGGTTAGATACGTGCGAAAGTGGCTTATGCTTAGGACTCTTTTGTTTAAATGAGTAAACTATTAAGTTACCCTTCACAAAATCACGTGCATGTATTTTTTCAGTAAAGCCCATTCTGATGTCCCATGGCCACTGTTAGATTGGACCTTCACCCCCTCCTCAGAAGTGGGCCCGACCTCCAGGGCGGAAGTTGCAGTTCTCTCTAGTACAGACTGAAGGAAGAGAGGTTTTAAAATCATGGTGCTATAAAGTAGTCATCCTGTCCGGGTACTGTATTAATCCTGCTTGCATCCTTACTTAGCCTAGAATATGCTCTAATTGCATTAACTGAGTGAATAACAAGATGGCACATTGCCTCTTAGATAACTGTGTCTTAGAGGCTAAGATGGGAAATGACTTACCCCAGTTTTTATGGTGGTTTGCTGCAGAGCAGAGATTGTGATGGAACCTAAATGCTCAGGGCACTCTAGCAGAGTTTTATTTTATTTTATTTTATTTTATTTTATTTTATTTTATTTTATTTTTTTTGCAGGGGTTATGTGCATATATTAGATGTAGATGTATTTGGAGGAGATGGCAAGTCACAAGAGATACGGGCAGATGAGTAGGAGTTGGACAGTGGGAGGATGCATAGAGGATGGGCACAATATTTTGTCAAAAATAATCCAATCAGAAGAGGCTTTTGCAGGAAAATCCCTTTGCATTGTCACTTATAACTGCAGATGTTTGGTTTTGTTTGCTAGCAGCTTTTTCTACCAAGTAGGTTAGCTTGCAGGTTTAGGTCGTATTCGTTTAAAAACTTAGGAGCGGAAAAACAGAGAAACACACTTAAAAAACATTTTCGATGTTGGAGACCAAAATTGAGAGAATTAGCTGTTTATTCTCTGAAGGTCATTGCCAAACTTGAGAGTTTTTTTTTTCTTGTTTAAATGATATAATTTTAAACAGGTAACTTTATTGTTTGAGGATCGAGACCACATATCGTTCTTTGTTGTTACTTTAGCATTTGGTATAGTTTCTGGCACATAGTAGACATTTAGTAGATGTCAGTTTAATGAATGAATGACTGAGATAGTGAAGAGTTGAAATGGAAATGAAAAAAATTATGCATTGGAAATCTGACCCATCATGAAAACCACGTGGATTAATCATAAGACTCCATGCCTCCTTCATCCCCAGATCTGGGGTAATCTGTTACCACTTCAATAAGTTTCTTATAAACATTGGTTTAATGTGATAAGTTTTATTCAGGTCCAGAAGACAAGTTATCCACCCATTTGTTCATTCAGCATGTATTTCTTAAGCACCTGCCATATATCAGAACCTACACAACATACAGTCAGACCTACAGAGTTAAACAAGACTCCTCATTTAAAGGTATCTAGAACAAAGTGAGGCAAGCCTTTGATGTGTAGCATGCCAGTGAATCCAGCTGTGCCCTGTGAGGCGGACAGGGAGGGATGGACGACTTTTGGTAGTGATGGAGAAATGCTTCTGTATGCAGATTTTCCTTAGAGTTGGTGGAAGTGGATTCATTATAGTAGACAAATGTCTCCTTCTTTTGTTCACTTGAAGTTTTGTTTTGCAGGGGTAGTAAAACTGATTTTTTTTTTTCCTATAGAAAATCTTGTTGGAACCCATGATGCCCCTATCAGATGTGTTGAATACTGTCCAGAAGTGAATGTGATGGTTACTGGGAGTTGGGATCAGACAGTGAAATTGTGGGATCCCAGAACGCCTTGTAACGCTGGGACCTTCTCTCAGCCTGAAAAGGTAAGCTCTTTGTATTCATAATAGGAATGATGGTCTTTGGGGTGATTCGATGCATGTTTGATGACTGTGGTATCGAATATTGAATTAAGACTTGATGGGTCTGTTTTACAAACGCACATACGTAGAAATATTTTGATGCAGAGGAAATTTTACTTTGGTCAAAATTTTTCCATCCGTTTTCATGTTTGTACTGGAGAGCACTAGCTTAAATAATAAATTTCCACGTATTGTTAATGCTTTATATCCCTGGACTAAGATTTTCAGAGAAGGCACTTAGCAAAGACCCTTGGATTGCTTTAAATTGGGTTTGATATGTCCAAACCAAAAGTGGGATAGAGCATCACTCATTCACTTAGGACCTGAGGTTTCATTTCAGTGTACTGTTGAGAGGGTGAAGTGGGTTATCATTTCAAGTTTAGTGAGAAACGCGGCCTGTATGCCCTTGCTTTGACCATCCATTCATTCATTCATTCATTCTGACAGATGTAGTTTGAAGGCTCTAGTGAACGCAGCTTCTTAAAACTGAATCTTTGTATATTATTCTAACCTTTTGATCTGTACCGTGAGAGTGTCGTTGAGCATTCTTGTTGTATCCTCATCAGACTTTATCAAGTGGTAGTTAATTTTAAAGATTGATTGTTTTAGCAGTTTAAAGGTATCCTTCACTTGAGTCTATTTCCTCAGTGTAAATATACTATTCACCTCCTGTTAACCATCATTATATACTGTAGTGCATCCCAGGAGCCATTATTTTTGTCACTTCATAGTCGAATCCACTCCTGGCAAGACCTTTGTTCAGAATAAAATAATTGCATTGTTTCTAGTTTTGATTTATGGTTGTATGTAACATGTTAAGAGCTGTGATAAATTGCTGACAGAACATCATATAATGGACAGCCACACTGAATCAAGCTGCTTATTGGTTCAGCAAGGTTCATTATGTCACTTTTTTTAATACTTCCTTTGATAAATGTATACACCTAGTCAGTAGCAAGACAGCGGCTTCACGTGATTTATGATCAGTGGGGATAGAAAGTGCTATTAGAATCTTGTGTCACCTGTATAAAGATTTAAGATGAAATTTTCAATTTGATTATACTATCATAAATTGATTTCTTTCCAGATTCTGTGTTTTTAAGTTTGGTATTTCATGTGACTTAGGTTAATTTCTATTTTTCTACAAATATTTTGTTTTCTGAATAAACTATGGTAAATCTTACATTTCTCTTATTTAAATATGCCTATATTAAACCTACTGTTTTGAATCTTTAATTCCTTATTTTACCACTTGGTCAAAGTAGTTGTTGAATTTTAAGGCCAGATTGTGGGGACTGTTGAGTGGTTATATTGTTAAACCTAAGTTGGATTTTTTGACTCATGGTATGCAGTTACCATATTAGTGTGTATTAACCATATGGTCTAATGTGTTAAAGAGATGACTTACCATGTTATGAGGCCTTTTCATTTTTTATAATGATTCTTCAGGTTTTAATATATTAAATAAAATTAAATTAGAGTTGCTTATTAACAGAAAGTAATAATCAGAGCAGTAGTTTTGTATATGAAGTTTAGATTTAAAAAGAATGGTTTAACAGGATCAGGAAAATACATGTGCCGCCATTTTCATAAATTTGCTATCTCTGGTCTCCAAATAACATTTGAAATTAACAACTTTAAACCTTGTATATAGGACATGTTATGATTTATTATAAGGGAATTTTCATGGAAGTTGTTTTAACATTGAAAAATGGCATCATGAGGGAAAAAATACTTTTATGGGACAAAATGCTTTTATAATTTTTCCTAAAGATGAACTCTATTTTGAGTGTTCAGTATGATGTCAGGGCACAAGAATTTGCTTTGTCATGTACCAGACGCTATCCTTTTCTTTTAATTTTGAGCTCATACGCACCAAAAGCAACTCAGCAGCTAATTAATATAGTTCCCTCACTCTTCCTGGAAAGGCCTATTTATTATTCAGGGTAACAGCTGGGGAAGTGCGGTGTTAAGGGTGACAGCATGAAACCTTGCTCCGAAGGCGGTCGTAGAAAAGTAACTTTGAAAATGATTGTTTTATGAAAAGCCAGAAGGCCGCTGGAAGGCATCTTGAATTGTTTTATGGCTTTAATGCCTCCTTTTTGAGTATTTTTTATACTTTTGTACTGTCATTAAATGAAACAGGGTTGGAAAAGCTGTTTAAAAATTTAATTTGTTTCAATAATGAAGAGGAATCCTCAACAGCATTTTTCATAGTTAATTAGAATGTACACTCTATGATACTTGGTTAAGTATTAAAATATCTTGGGTTTATTATTTTGTGTGAATTAGTTGGTTTGTGTAACTATAGTATTAACAATTTGATGCCTTTGTTTAGGAACCTGATCAGCTAACTTTTTTTACGGTTTTATGATTAGGGGACTTTATTTTGGGCCAGAATGCCATTTTCAGTCAAGTGGGTGATTTTTACAAGTTTTGGTCTTTCTTGACAGGTGTACACCCTCTCGGTGTCTGGGGACAGGCTGATTGTGGGCACCGCGGGCCGCAGGGTGCTGGTGTGGGACCTGCGGAACATGGGCTACGTGCAGCAGCGCCGGGAGTCCAGCCTCAAGTACCAGACTCGCTGCATACGAGCTTTTCCAAACAAGCAGGTACTGGCCGGCACCCTCTCCCCTGCTTTTTTGAATTTGAGAACAATACGATCTTATATAGTAATGATTTGGTCACTGCCTTTTAAAAACTTTGCCTTTTCTTTGGAGTAATGATTTAGAATTTGTTAGGTATGTTTTTGACATCCTTGTGTTAAAAGATAGTGTGTTAAACCAATTTTAAAGATGACCTTGATGTTCAGAGAGGCTAAGTAACTTGCCAGTGGTTTGATAGAGGTCCTCTGATTCCTCTTTGATCCTGGTTCAGGATGTTTGACAGGTATACAGTAATCAAGGAGAGTTTTGCAGACATTTCATTTTACAAACTACTGAATTCAAATTTGAGTCTGGAAATTAAGGATCATGGGATTTGCTCTTCTCTCCCTCTCTTTCTCTCTCTCGCTCTCTCTCTCTCTTTTTTCTTTTTGCCTCTCGGTGACCTCAATACAAATAGAGTGCTATAGCGAGCCTAGCTCAGAACTTGGATTTTTCCCGAGGAATGGCCCTGAGGTTAGGAAAGGCAGTGCGCCTCATAGAGTGACTAACCCTTGATGTGTGGGTGGTCGCCCTTTCGGCATCGATGCTGAATGAGCTTGCCCTGCTTGTTAGGGAGCCCCTTCTCCCTGCAAACCCTGAAGTTCTGAGGGGAGTTGGTGGGGTGGTCGGCTGCTGTAGGAATTTTGCAGGAGTAAAAGTCATCAAAAACAGAAGGTATCTTGGAAGTTTATGGGTGTCCTTTAGTGGTTGTGGAGCCTGAAGCAATTATGCCAGCTATTCTCTGGGTTCTGTATTTTAAAAGACTGGTACCTCAGGTGGTGATCACATCCCCCCCCCAATATTGTGAATTTTCATCGAAGATAAGGAATTGCAGTTACTTGATAGTTGAGATTTAAATTCATGAATAAATATGCTTGTATTTATAAGTATTTTTATGTCTTGCATCTAAAATTTTTTGTTCGAGTGTATCTCCAGTTTATAATGGAAGTTTCACTAAAAGTAAGATTTTATTGATTTTTTTTTTTTTTGGTCTCCGTAAGTAGTCTTTCAGGAGTCAGTCTTTTTTATACCTTGAAGAATTAAAGAAAAATAAAATACAGGTTTTATATTTATCTTTTACTTGGACATAAACAAGTGGTGATAGTATTATTTTTTTAATAGAGCGTTAGTGTCTTTAAAATTTTGGAATAGTTATAGCTATGCTAGTACAGCTTAAGCACTTTTTTAAAACCAGGCCATACTTTGTTTTCCTTTCTGAAATCGTCTTCCTGTAGCGTGGGTTGAATTTGGGTATTAGTGCCTTGGTTTTGGAAGCTGACTTCACCGTTTTTGGCTTCCTCTGGCTCCCGCTTGGCAGGGTTATGTGTTGAGCTCTATTGAAGGCCGAGTGGCGGTTGAGTACTTGGACCCAAGCCCTGAGGTGCAGAAGAAGAAGTATGCCTTCAAGTGCCACAGGCTGAAGGAAAATAACATTGAGCAGATCTACCCAGTCAATGCCATTTCCTTTCACAACATCCACAATACATTTGCCACAGGTGAAGTATGGCATGTTAACGTATATCTACTCAATAAGATAGCATAATTTTACTGTTGAGCACTAGAAATCTATAGTTAGGCGGAGCTTTAAAAAAAACTGTGCTTGCTTTTTATGATAGTTAGAGAAATCTGGTATAGTACTTCTTGGGGGGAAATGTACCTTCTGTGATCTTAAAAATTAACCATTTGTAAAGATAATGGTTATTTTCTATATCTGCTTTTAAGGATCATTTAACTTTTTCAAAATGACTTGCAGGTGGTTCTGATGGATTTGTGAATATTTGGGATCCGTTTAACAAAAAGCGGCTGTGCCAGTTCCATCGGTACCCCACCAGCATCGCGTCACTCGCCTTCAGTAATGATGGGACTACACTTGCAATAGCATCATCATATATGTATGAAATGGATGACACAGAGCATCCTGAAGATGGTATCTTCATTCGCCAAGTGACAGATGCAGAAACAAAGCCCAAGTGAGTATGCTTCACCTGTATTTGAGCCTTTTCTTGCATTCAACCCAGGATTTATTAATTTTTCTAAATTCATGAATAGCATTGTCGATGCCTGCTCGATATTACAGCTGACTGTAGGGTTGGAGTTGATTTTATCTTGTTCTCCCAAGCTTTCAATATCCGTAGGTTGATAGACGTCTGATGGATAAAATTGTGCCTAGTTGTTTTGTAGAGAAGAATGTCAAACTCTCATTCTTCTTGAATGGGCACTATTATTTGAATCCCTGGAGTTATTACTAGCTCATTGCTTGAAAATTAAGTTGAGGAATTCAAAAATAATTTATTTAAGCAAATTCTATTTAAGATATTTAAGAATTTTAAGTGCCAGAAATCTTTCCTCTCCACAGAGTTTGTTTTTTTAGTATTTATACAAAGTGAATGACCTTCAGGTCTTCCTGGAAACCCAAAGTAATATGGCCTTGCCTGGAATAGTAAATTTCCTTAGTTTTCAAATTTTCATAGCTGTCCATGGCTCTTGGTTGACAGAGAGGAACCATTTAGTGTTTGGTACCAACAGGGCAAAGCTCTTTACTTAATTACCTGCACCAGGTTTAAGGGAAAACTGATACGTAGGCACTTGTTTAAACCCCAAAAATACCTCTCCCAGGTGTCTTGTCCTTCCTTGTCTCTCTGTACCCAGGCCCTTGTAGGAAGTCCTTCATATCAATATTTATGGAATAACTGACTATTTTCAGGATTCCTTTATTTTTCTGAATTAAAATGGTATAGTGCCCTTGCTAAATTGGTTGAGTCCCTGAGAGGGGGCAGGGTTTTAAATATTCAGTATCATGTATACTTTTCCAGGTTTGACTTTAGAAAAGACTTAGCATGTGAAGCCTGTTGGGTAAAGGGCTGTGTTTACATTTGCGCTCTCACTTTTGTATGTCTTGTCCTGGCCGGCCATTTTGATCTTATGCTGTTCTTTTTTCTTTTGAACTTGTAGGTCACCATGTACTTGACAAGATTTCATTTACTTAAGTGCCATGTTGATGATAATAAAACAATTCGTACTCCTTAATGGTGGATTTATTACTATTAACAAAGAAACCAGGGAAAATATTAATTTTAATATTATAAGAACCTGAAAATAATGGATAAGAGGTTTTTATTGATTTTTTTTTAAATGAACACTTTTCCTAAGTGCATGAGATGGTTTGATGGTTTGCTGCATTAAAGGGATTCGGGCAAACAAAACTGGAGGGCAGTGACTGCACTTTTGAGAATCAGTTTTGACCTTGGTGATTTTGTTTCCACTGCGGAAATTAATGTTTGTAAATAAATATAGGTAGTAAAATTTTTTTCTGGACCTTTCATGGTAGAATAAAAGGCTCTTGAGCCATTTGTTTCTCTTGCGGGTTATAGTTGCTTGTTCTAAAGCTGCTTCAGTCTGCCTCATGAGGAGGTTAATCTACAATTAAACAATATTTCCTCTTGGCCGTCCATTATTTTCTGAAGCAGATGGTTCATCATTTCCTGGGCTGTTAAACAAAGCGAGGTTAAGGTTAGACTCTTGGGAATCAGCTAGTTTTCAATCTTATTAGGGTGCAGGAGGAAAACTAATAAGAAAACCTCCTAACATCATTTTGTGACTGTAAACAATTATTTATTAGCAAACAATTGATCCCAGAAGGGCAAATTGTTTGAGTCAGTAATGAGCTGAGAAAAGACAGAGCATATCTGTGTATTTGGAAAAATAATTGTAACGTAATTGCAGTACATTTAGACAGGCATCTATTTGGACCTGTTTCTATCTCTAAATGAATTTTTGGAAACATTAATGAGGTTTACATATTTTTCTGACATTTATATAGTTCTCATGTCCATTTCAGTTGCCCAGCCGCTGGTGATTAAGGTTAAAAAGAAAAAAAATTATAGTGAGAATGAGATTCGTTTCGATGTAATGCCCTGAAGCAGAACACGAACTTAGCTTGGCCTACTCTAAGTGGTTCCAAATAGTACACTTCTGTTGTCAAACTTTTTGTTCTACTTATACGCAAATGTATGTTTCTGAATGGGTCTTGGACCTTTACTGAAACTTAATTTATCCATGGTGTATTTTTTAAAAAATTCTTTTGATACAGAGAAAGAAAGGTCTTATTTTATTTTTTAAGTATTTCAGTGAAAACAGTGTAAACCTGAATCCATCTTTTGAAATATATTTTCTTCATTGCAGGTCCACCTAATCATCTCCTGAAAGTGGTTTCTCTATGGAAAGATTTGTTTTCCTTCCTACAAATACATTCTTATTCACTAAGGGATGCATTATAGTCATTGTGGATACGTTGCTTAGTATGTGGATATCTCTGTTTTCTGTCTGACAAAACTTGTCTGCGCCCTTTCTTGCTGACTTTGTGTAGGATGAGGAGTCTCGGTGTCCTTGTGCAGTAGTCAGAAGAATTGTTTTTCTCCCAGCAAGCCCCGTTGCTTTTTCTGAGCAGCTTGAGCTCTTTTTGTAAAATAATCTGAACCTGTTATGTCCACGCTGTCTAATAAATCAGAGATTCAGAACCCTTAAATGTTGGATGTTTTCAAATGTTGGTAATTAATGTAATTTACTTTGTAAAAAGGCTTCTGTAGAGCAGAGCTCCCTTCATCAAGGGCCTGGTGGGGATGACATTGTACCTTTAGGTCCACGCTGCCTCATTTAATTATGTCTCTTCTGATGTACGTTGGGATTTAGTCCTGGATAAAGTGATCTGTTGGAGTTCTGCCATTTCCCTCGTGCCCTCTTGCTGGATCAGCAGGGCTCTTGAGCCGACTTAGCAGCTTTATAGGATGGGCGCAGACTGCAGGGCAGCTGACGGGCGCCCTTTGGCACGACTCTCCTGGAAGTGCTAGTGCAGTAGAGCTCGTGCCGCTCGCACGTCCTTGTGCTGATGCAGCCATCGTGCGCACACACAGAACCAAATGACAGGCCCGTCTGTGCTTATCCATCAAACGTTAAATCAGAGTGAAGCCCTTGGGATGGTAAATAATGTAATAGCCAGAGACTAACTGATGGTATTGGTTCTTCAGTGTGATTATGTGCTGCTTAAAGTCATAACCACTTGGTTGAGGACAGAGCATAAATTTAAAATGTTTAACTGAAAGAGAATTAATATAGCATCGTAAAAGGTGACTAAATTAAAGCAATGTTTCTGATGTTGTGTGAGAGAGCTGGATGTCCTCTTGTCTCCTGAAACCAAATGCGTTTCCCCCTGCATGTGTCTCCTTACCTCCCCTGTGGACCTCATAACCAGCTCTCTTTCACAGTTCGTCCCAAACAACCCAGATGCAATATCCTAGCGTTTTCATTGGTTTCCTGTACCTAATTTTTCTTCTCTATTTTTAAGTGTCTCTCAGGTTTTTTTTTTTCCTTTTTTTCCCTACTGCTACTATCCCATTTAAAGGGCGCCCTCCGCCCATCTGGAGGAGCGTAACAGCCTCCAGTCTCTGCCTTAATTCCTCCGTATTCTGGAACAGTGACTCTCAGACCTTTTAAGCTGCGACCGAAGTATGAAACACATTTAAATTTTGGTTAAGGACACACAGTTCAATACAGTATGTATAACAGAGAAAAGATTTATAAAACATTAGTTGCCTTTTGTACATGTGATGTAGCTGCTTGCTTTTTTTCTTTTCTCTCTTTCTGTCTGTCTGTCTTTCTGTCTTTTCTTTCTTCTTTCTTTTTTTTCTTTCTTTCTTTCTAGAAATGTTGGTTATGGCCTCCTGACCTGATTTTATAACAGATGCCTTGTCACCTCTAATTTGAACAAACTGCTCTACACCACATAGGACTTTTAAAAACTCTTGCTCTTCTTATCATGCTGTGCTTGGGACCCTCCCCGTTCCCCAGTGCTCACAGTGGCCCTTCCATCACTTCTAAGAAGGTAAGCTGCCTCCAGGGCCTGCTGGTCGCCAGGTGCCATGGTGCTCTCCGAGGAGTCGGGGTGGGGCTGACCCCTGGGAACCCTGACGGGTGTATGGGGAGGTTCTCCTGGTAGCAGTGTCTGGTTCCGAATTCCACGCTGTGGAAACTTAGGGGGCATGAGCAGGTTCCCCTTTGTTCAGGGGGAAGTCCAGGCCCTGTTAGGAGCACTAAGGCCAGAGGACCCAGTTTACCTTGCTGTTCAAACCCTGCATTGTTTTGCCTTTGTCATTCAGCTTCGTATCCCCTGAGTGTTTTGCTATGCACACACTTACATCTTCAGGGAAAAAGGATTCTTCTGGTCGGAGAAGACTAGATCTCTTTGCTTAGTGGGAGAAGACTCAGTGCCCTTTGGCCTACTGAGAGCTCAGAGAACTCAGAAGGAAACAATGCCTGTAACTTTGTTTAACCAGTTTTCCCCGAATTGCTTTGACCCTGAGCCTCCGTCTTGCTATGTCCCCTACCCCTGCTGCATTTTTCACTTTTTACCAAGTCCTCTAAAACACCGGAATTCTCTTGCTCCGAGTGCCAGGCTGTTCACGTTGCCGTCCCTCAGACACACACGTGGAGTCCCAAGGTCGCAGCCTGCTGAGGCGGTTTCTTTTTCGGACTTGTTCTTTCAGTTTTCAATTGAATCCTGCCAGGTACTGTTCAGGATCCCCTTTTCCATGAAGCCTGCTGTCCTGGCTCCAGTTCACAAATGAGTGTGCTCTTCTTCCCTATTCAGGTGAAGCATCTCCTGTTGTCTGTCTTTGGCACTTAGCAGTACTGCCTGGAATTTTAACATTTTTACATGTGCACATTTTGTTCCCCTGCTTCGTTCTAGCGAGAGCAGGGACCACATCTTTTTGTATACTCCGATACGTAAATATTGGGCCACTGTGATGTTACTGAATGTTAGAGACGGTCGCTTTTTAAAAATAATTTTCAATGTAGTTTTGAATAGAGTCACACAGTGTCCAGTGCACCGGACATAGAACTTTTGTTAATTCATTTAGTAAACATTTAATATGCATTTAGTATGTTCATTGATGAAAAATTTAGAAAACATCATGCAAAAAATGAATTACGTTGTCACACAGTTCTACACTAGAAGGTAGCATTTTGGTGTGTATCCATGTTTCGGAATTTCCTATGCATATTTCTCCATGAATAAAAGTTTGTTAACCACATCACGTGAAAACGCCTGGGTGAAGATTTGAAGATTTCTATTTGAGATGGTGTGACGCAGGGTAAAGGCCATGTGGCTACGTGGCATTTGTTTTGGGGGGTGCTGTCCTAGGTGTACTTTGAAGTAACAGGCGACTGGTGACCTAGAGCACCTGGAGCGTTGGATGTAGGAGACCCTGTCATGGTGGCCGAGAAGAGTCCGGCCCTGGGTAACTCCGTGACTCGGACTTGCTGTTTGCACCCCCAGTATCACATGGGCGGCCCCTCGAGGGGGCTGACGACGGTGTGAGCTGCTTCTCGCTCAACCTGGCCATTGTTCTCTTGGCTGTTCAGAGGGAGGCAGCAGGTACCCGCCTGCCTATGGTTAGTGTGCGCCTGTGCAACTCTCTGGGCTAGTGAGTACATACCATTTTATTAACTTATTTTTTAGCGCATTTCCTTTTTGGAGAGGGGAAGGGAGGGGAAAAGGGAGGGAAACAGATGGGGGAGAGAAACATTGGTTGGTTGCCTCTATCACACACCCTGGCCGAGGAAGGAACCTGCAGCCCAGGCATGTGCCTTGACCAGGAATCAAACGGGCAGCCTTTCACTTTGCCGGATGATGCCCAGTCAAGTGAGCCACACTGATGATTTTATAAAATTTGGATTACATGTAAGAATCCTGCTTTATATCCTTAACATATTAGGAAAATTCTCCGTAATTTAATTTTTGCCTTGTTTTTAAAAGCCACTTTCCCCTTTGACTCTTTGAACAAATACCGAGTGCCTGCTGAACGCTAGGCTGCGTGCTGGGTGCCGGAGCTCCGGTGCTGAGGAGGACGGAGTCCCCCGGCTCTTTGGGCTTCCAGTCTGGGTCGGGGGTGTGGCTGGTAGCGATGAGCACACCTGCAGTTACAGCAGGGTGACAAATGCAGCGACAGAGTAGTGTGCCCAGATTTGGTTTTCAAGCTTTGGCTGACCCGTGGTCCTGAATTTCACAACCTTGGTGGTGGAGAGGGCAGTTAAGTGTGGCGATTGCTCTCAAATCTCAATTCCCGTGACTGGGTGATGCAGGCGCTGTGACAGACTAGGCACCAGGGAAGGCCATGCGTGTGGAAGGCCCCTGCTGGAGAATCTTCCGGTCGCACCAGCGGGGCTGTCAGGGCTCTGGAGCTACACATGCTGGTGTGCCTGGTCACGCAACGTGGCGGGTCCGGCCTTTGGACCTGGCTGCTTAATTCATTGCGTCAGTGAGGTTCCTTTCTGAGCCTGTTTCCTCATCTGTGAAATGAGGATAATACTAAACTCATGGAGTTACATATGAGAATAGCAAATCTTTGTTTTCTTTGGGCAAAAAAAGTAAACTCAGTTATTAGCCGACTTCAGGTTTGTGGTTCTCAGATACCTGTGGGATTCCTAGTTCTTAAATTTGGCACTATATTTTAGAAAACCTCAGAATCACACCCATAAACCCACTATCCAGATTTTAAAATGTTAATATTGCTGCTTTTCATCTCTTTGTTTTCAAATAAAACATTGCACATAATTGAAGCCTCACTTGTGCCGCTCCCTCACCCTATTGCCATGTCCCATTCTTAGGTATTGTACCCATTTACGCCTCTATGCTTACGTGGTGTCCACATGTGTTTTAGGAGATTTGCATTAGTGGTATACTGCTGCCCTCCTGGAATGATCTCCACTATTCAACATCAGGTGAGGTCAGTAAGATGCAGAAGGAAAAGGAGAAGGCGACAAACAGGATCATTTGTAGAGAAACAACTAAGCAGCCCCCAAGGTTGTACAGGAGTGACTGTGCTGAGTACCCACCGTTCTTGAACTATGAGATCAGCCATCGTTGCAAAAGTAATGGCGATTGTTCTCTGACATGTCTTAAGGGTGAAAACTGCATACTCAAACGGGAGTTGTTCTTTCCCCTAGGAAAATAAGTGTGTGTTAATAGTGCCCAATAGATTACGTGTATTAAAAATAAAACATGCCAGTTGTCACCCATGAAGCAAACCATAACTAGTTTCACAGTTCTCTCCTTTGATTCCCCAGCTCAGTCTTTGAAATGTCTCTAGGTCATCTTTCACTTGGGAAAGTACTGATTTAAGCTATTAGCACTAGTTATAGCAGTTTCCTTTAAAAATGGCACCTGGCTATGTGGCTTTGGAACTAACAAGAGAAATGAAAGCGGCTGTGCCGGTGGCCACTAATACCAATTGCACCATTGAGTACAAAGGTACTTTCCCCTTGATCAGTGGTGTGTTGCAACAATGCTTTCATCTTCGAAGGATACCCACAAAACTCGTTCTAGGATTGCCACGGGGTGTTGGCTTCTGGGTTGGGAAGTACATGGGTGGGCGGAAGTGGGTTTACAGTTCATATGGAAGCTAATACAGCGGTTAATACACAATACAAAAGGAGTAAACACTGTTTCATACACTCGAGACTACACCTACCTTTGCCCACCCCTGTGTCTGAAGGTTAAAAACCGGAGTGTACTGTGATTTCTAGAGGTCTGTGATTGGGGGACCATGACACAACCTAGCCTCCCGTTTAACGTCACTCATAATTTGGCGGCCAGCTCTCGGCTTATTTTAAATGGAAACCAGTTGGTTTCATTTTGTTGTTTCGCCTGCCTTGAATACAGTACGCCGTTGGTGGTGTGACTTTCCGAATCGCCTGTCTTGAACAAAGGAGTGGAAAAAAGTGCTTTGTTGCATTGCGCTTGGATAGCGCAAGGTGTCAAACTGATGTAATTTGAGGGCTCATTTCCAATGGTTTATTTCATTAACTCATTTTCCAAGAAATATTTCACCTCTGACCATCCTAGCCAACTCAGCACAGTTAACACAAACCTGAAGAAGCCATACAAATTACACCGACTGGTCTCCGAAGCACCTAAGTTTGCTTTTCCAATGTTGTAACGAAGTACCTTTCATCCCCTTTATAGGACTCTGTTATAGGCTATTGCAGTAATTTAAAACCTATGTACCCAGACTCCTGACCTTGTTATAACATCACTTTATAATTCTCAGAATACTTGGCTCTTGAAGATTTTCTTCGCACCAGCCATTTATTCTTAAAGAGTCCAGATGATTTGTCCTTAGTGTTAACGTTACCCATATCTCCTCAGCTGGTAAGACCTAACATTCTTGGTGAATTGCCTGACAAAAAAATCCTTCAATTCTTTCATTATTTCACAGCTTAAGGTGGCAGTCAGTTGTTAGCATTTTCCATTTAAGAAATCCCCTTGCTTGGAACAATGGCCATTATGTCTTTATCAAGCTTGGGTATAGAAGTGGCTCTTTTGCTGGGTTCACCATTAGTTCATCAAGGTGCTGGTGAAATTCTGGAGAAGCACAGCTTTCCTCGTGTGACTAACATGAAGGTGGTCCTGGAAATGGAGGACCAGTATGTGAGGCAGGCTCCAAACACATTGCGCTTTGTTACTGTCGTTCATTAGGTGCACAGTGACGTTAGTTCCTAGAAGTCTGGAATGGGTGCTGTTCATTAAGAGCTTGGTGGCTTGGCTTTCTGTTTACTTATGTTCATAGACTGTATCCTGTTAAGTGTTGGGCTTGACCTTTGCTTTGCAATAAGCTGTATCATCTCAGAACATCCTGGGCTTTTGCTGCCGATTGTTATGCAGGGTTTTGTTTTTGACTCAGATCTAAAGTGATTGAAGAGTCAGAGAAATCTCATTTATGGGGACTCCACTAACAGAATTTGTGATGCATCGACTTAGGAGAAAAAGCAGGTAAGATCAGATGGAATATATTTTAATGCCCGAAGGGTGAATTCTTTATGGGTATTAACACGTTAATAATAGTAGTATTTGATCTGCACACTGAACAGGGCTTCTTCCCGGAACCCTTTGAAATACCATGTGTATTATTGAGGTTAGGCACGTTTAGTATTTCTAAAGACACACTTTTTGGCTGAAAACAACAAAATGGTTGGATTTAGCCATGACCTTGAAGCTGGTGATTGGCGATAGATGTGTGGCAACATGCAGAGGAACTAGCTTCTTGGGATTATTTGGGAAATAGTAGGACTAACCTGAAATTTAACATTGAAATTTGAGTTATCAAGGCAAATTTTCAATTTGGCCACCAGTAAAAGTTTCAGCAAAGTCTTATTATTGATCCAAAATGAATAGAACCCAGAAGAGAGGATTGTGCCTGGTTCTTTCCTGTTTTCTTTTTCTTTTTTGGCCAGTGTTTAGACTTCTTTTGCCAACATTCCTGAGTGGTTTTCATCTTATTAATCTAAACTGCTTTCTTCCTCATCAGAGCTTCTTAGTGGAGTGGATGAGGAAAAAAACAAGTTAGGGAAAGTTATTTTTAGTACTTGTTGCCTTGAGCATCTAATTGTAGTTTGGGAATTAAAGGGACAAAAAAAAAAAAAAAAGCCCGTAAAAGGTTCTGCCTTTTTGGCAACTCAGGAGACGAACCTGGCAAGAGAGGGTCGTACATGTTGGAAGGGTGGCAGCTGTGCCAGAGTCTAAGCCTGTAATGCTTGTGGGTGTAGCTCCCATTACTTTGGGAGAAGGGAGTCACTTTTGTTTTTATTAGCCCTCCAGATATATGAATAAAGGTCAGGAATTAGAAACTGAAGAAGTCATTTGGAAACAAGCCTCCTCGGACTTAGATCAGAAGACTTGCTGATGAGGGGTATCCTAACCCCTTGGACGTCCAGAGAACTGATACCGAAAAGGCTTCTTAGAGCCTGGCCTCTTACTGAATGCGAGGGGCTCATAGAAAACATG